CAGTTAGTCACCTCTAGTAGGCAGGGCTAAATGAAGCCGTAGAGAGAAAGTAAGGATTTTGAGAGCTACCCAAGCCGCCTGAATTGAGACTGTAGTGGGACATGGGTTTTTGGGTGCTCCTAGGACTGGTGAGAAAAGTTCCTGTGCTTACGTGCATGCGTCTGTGTACTCCCTATAACACATCCAGACATACATATCTCAGGAGACTGTTTTTATGTCAGAGGACGACTGTTGTTCAAGAGATTTTCATTACGCGTGTGAGACTGCAGTAATACAATCCCTTGTGCCGAGATCCTGTTGAAAACCCTAGGTAGGAGTTGGATCCACAAGAAGGTTTCTTGCCATGGATGACCTTGCCTCAGGAAAAAAACAGTAAAAACCCAGTGATTGCAACGTGCAGGTGAGGAGGACTGCAGTGTTGTCTGTGTGCTAAGGGGAACCTGGCTGCCTTTAGATCAGGTGCTTTTAAGCACAGTACTAGAGCTTAGAGGTATCTGCCGCCATGGAAAGCCTAGGCAGAAATTACTGGCAGGACAAGAGTAAGTTATGACATGAAAACTGCTGTTTCACAGCTCCTCAACTCCCCAGTATTATCAGGTGGGGGAAGAGGGAGCAAAACAGTTAATTCTCTGGCTTGGCTAGCCAGATATTGAATACAGAGAACATTGCACTGGTTATCTCAGGGTGAAAGCACTGAGTCACATGGCTACTTTTCATTTGAAAATACACCTTAGCACCCCTGCCATAAATGACATGCAGCCCTAGCACTTTATTCTGTGGGATGCCCATCCGTAAAGTCAGATTATCTTGTCCTACTGCATAATCTGGAGGAAGGACTGTGAGAGGAGGAAGCCGTTCAGAGTTCTTCAGAACCTTTTTTTGAATGGAAGAGCCCTCTTACACCCTTCAACAGAAAGAAGAAGGGAGTATTTCCCTCTCCGCTGGGAGATCTGCAGTGGGCTGTCGTCACCTACGTGGAGGCCCTGAGTCTCATGAGCTCCACGAGGTCCTAGTTAGATCCTGAGGTCTCTACTCCTCTTTTGGGCCATGCGGGGAAGGCATGTCCTCTGGCATTAGATGAATGCAGCTGAAGATCAGATCTGCAATGGCACCTTTGTTTTTCCTGACATGACTGTGCAAACGCATAATGTGAGTGCTTGGAGGAACTCTACCAGAGTATCAAAGCCAGGCAAAGAGAGAGCAGCCACCAGGAAACACAGGGCTCCTCAGACTTCCCACGTAGTTTGCTCAGTCCAGAGGGTTCTGCATCATGAAGCAGATAGATAGGTTATTTGCATCCATCTATATTCTAGGACATTTCTGAAGGAAACAGGAACAGGAAACCTGACAACCGTGTATTCAGGGAGGTGAGCTGGAGATGGACTCACGTTCTCACACCAGGCTCTGGTGAGGCTCACCCATCTATAAGTGCAAAGCTAGGTGCTCCCCTAAAGGCAGCCAGGCAGCCTTGCAGATGGTCACTGTAAAGCTGGCTGCTTATCAGGGCATGGGCATCAACTTTTGGAAGTGCGGTCATGGACTTGCAGAAAAATGAATATGAAAAAGCCCATGGTAAGAGTAGTAGAGTATGACCTGGTATTTGATGCAGAGGGTACATGGATTTAGTTTCAAAGAGAGAATTCATCCGGTCTCTATCTGCAGGGAAAAAGGCATCATGCTGACAAAGTGTTCCTTCCTTGCTCGTAAAATCCTCTGAGCGATCAGCATTGCTTTTGGTGAAGTGAAGCAAGAAGGATGAAAAAGGCACAAAAGTCCCCCATGATCTGCAGTGATGCTATCCAGCCTGTAAAGCACACTGTGGGACACAACTTGGTGAGGCAGGACTGGCTTTTGAGGTACAGCGTGTATTCGATGCAGCATGGGTCAGGCCCCCTCCCTTCCCTACGCTAAATGCCAGCCTCCCCAACACCTCCTCAGCTGCTCAGAGCTGCCATGGATGGCCTTGTGCTGGCCTTGCTACAAAGTCCTGAGGACGCTAACAGTCCTGCTGGGGAAGCCAAAGACCGCTGCGAAAATCTGCTTCCTGCACTGTCAGGTCTCCAAATTAATTTTCCAGCTTGTGAGCTGAACCTCTAAAAGCTTTCTCTTCTGAAAAGATTATGGAATTGTTCCCATGCTAATGAGTGCTTTAGTGTTACGGTGACTGAAAGTCCCATAAGAAATTAAAAAAACAAAAAGGGAGCTGTAACAGCTGAATAAAGACACTGTGTGGAAAGGGAGCCTGAGGTGCCTGTGTCCAACCTTAGCCGTTGAGGGGGAAGAGGAGAGGAGGAACATGAATGAGGTGCACTTTGGAAAATGAGAGAAGGGTGAGGAGAAAAGCATGCTCTGCAAGAACACTACTGACCAAGCAGCTGAGCTGTCAGTAACACCTTCAGCAGCTCCCAACTTTGTTTCTCTCTCTGTGAGGGGCCAGCAGGGAGGGCATACACTACCTATACCTTTCCCTTTTCAGTAACTACCTAGTAGATATCTGTCTGACCAGCAGCAGGGGATAAGTCGGAGCCTGGTCATTGCTAGGAGAGGAGTGAGGTCAGGTTGCAGCGTCGCGTTGTGTTGCTGAGCCTCCTGGGGGGACCGCGGCCATCACAGCAGCCTGCACTAGGACGATCTGCCCTTCCAGGCTCCCAGCGTGTTGCCAGCACACATTGCAATGTCTCCTAGTTAGGGACTGTGACACTAGGCTCCAAACATACAGAAAAACAGTATCTGACCTGACTCCCCAGAAGAGTTTGGCAGTTACTAGAGAGAAAACTTCTGGGATGAGTTTGCCACTGTCCTGTTGGCTTTCACAGAGCTAGTCTTGCTGCTGCTTTGCTGACCCCAGTTTCTTACACTGTCAATCCATGGGTTACAACAGGCTTCTCCCAGGTTTGAGAGAGAGCAGAGCTAACCCCTACGTGGGGATGGAAAAGCAGTGCTGGGGACCTGTCTCTGTGCTACACGAGCTGAAATGCAAAGGGAGGGCCAGTCTATATTTAGGGAGGGACTCTATTCAGAATGGATAAACCTCCTTACCTGTGGGATTAGACTGCTTTAACCTCCTCACCAGGCCTCCCCGCTCCCTTGGGCTGCTGCGGAGCAGGAGGGGGCATGGCTGGAGGCAGGGAGGGAAGTGCAAGGCAGGTTGCTGATGACTCATTTTGCTGCTGGCAGGCTTGCAAAGCGCTGCAAGAGGTCGCTAAGGGCCCAGGCACAGAGTGACAGACGAGTGACGTGCAGTGCAGAAGGGAACGTGACGGCGTTCCAATTAGGAAAGAACATGGATCTTCATAAATAATTGCAGAGATGAATGAGTGCAGCAGCAGGTAGAAGGAAGAACAAGAGACCCAACGCAGCAATTTCCCAAAACATAATATCCTCGTTAGACTTTTTCAAGTGGTTCCTCCAATTGGAAAAAGGGAAGCTTCTTGATTTGCAGCTGATATATCTCAGAAGATGCTTCTAACCTACTTGCTTGGGCTGGCTCCAGAAGGGAAATTCTGGGGATGCAAGTCAGGTTCATCTGTTGGGAATGTGAATGAATCACTGTCAATATTGCATTAACATTTTGAAGGGAGGCCAGTATCGCAGCTCAGGGCAATGGGTGTGTGTGTGGGGGGGAATGGGATGGCAGGAGGGAGGTAGACTGGATTGCACCCAAAGCTCAATATTCTTCTCAGTCATAGTCATGGGACAAGTGCCTATACCTAGAGAGGGCAGATTTCTGTCCTTCATCTAGTGCACAGCTGTTAGAAAACAGAAGCCCTGTCAGCAATCTGCCCAAGGAGACTCGAGCACACCAAAGAGAAGATGTTCTTATCACCCCTACACTTGGGCTTTGGGACGAAGCTCTGGGGAGAAGGATGAGAAATGTCCTGCTGTGCTGTGTCTAGCCTGCAACTGAGACACCCCTTTCTCAGGGATGCCAAACGGGCTCTTCCTCCCTGTGCTGAAGGCACAGCGGAAAAGAGAGATCTGCTTCCAAAACAGGGACAGAGTACTTGTCTGAGAGACTCTGAGAGTTTTTATCCCTAATTTTGTGCATCTAGATTGTGCTGGAGCCATTATTTTTCCTCCCTAAGCTCTAGAAATCAGAATTCATCTGACAGCTAGTGTGGTTTTCCTTCACTTTTACCGAGCTTTCCAGATTTTCACTGAGAAATCACTGCAGGTTTTGATTTCCTCAATTCCCTTTG